AGAACATATCTGCCTTCTGTGTGGGCTGCCCTGTGTATCTGTACAAAATGTGAGCTTTGCTAATGGACTTCAAGGATTTATTACATTCAGTGAAAACTGCAAGATGCGCTTAAAGCTCTGTAATTTTTGACGGTGCACAGACCAAGGGAATAGCTGCCTTGCCAAAGAGCGGGTCTCGGTCTTGCTTTTTAAGTGAGTTATATTTTATTGATACACAGCAGCACCGATTTCTTGAACCCAACCTTTCTTACAGTCTTATTTTCGCAGTTGTATGTGAGGAAAAAGCATGTAAGCTGACAAACGGAGCTGTGATAGATTTTCTTCTTTGCCTCAATCATGCTTTTCCAGCTTCTTCACCAATTAAAAGTTGTGCTTGAGATAGAAGCTGTTAAAGAACAGGTGTGGAACTGTTCCACTTGTGAGAAATGCTCCCACAAGAAGTGCTCCCCAGGGTGAATTATGGCAGTGCATGCTCTCTTCCATACAGTCCTGGCCAGCTACAGAGGGTTCGGTGTGAACTATTACAGCTGAACTCACTTCCTGTTCAGCTGTGGGCACATATTGTGTCACAGGCTTTTCTGTCTGTCCTGTGAATCTAGCGGAGGACATTTGGGATTGCAGAGCCTATCGAGGAAAGTCAGGAATGCCGGTACAAGAAATAGGAAGCACGGGAAACTGGGAGACAAGTCTTCTTTGTCTGAAGGTGTGTTGTCTGTTGCTGATGGTCTGCCAGATAGCCCCATTATCTTCCCTACAACCTCGTCCTGCATTTTGCAAGAGGTTAGACTAGCTTTTTTATTCATTAATACAACTCAAAAGTAAGTGCATTTTAGCATGTTTCAGTCTGAGACTGTGGGAGCGAAAGAAAGATTGAAAGTAAGACGGCAAAACAACCATAAAGGGGAAGAACAGCAAAAAGAAATCCTTTTGACTGTGAAGGAACTGTTCACATCATCTTTTATTGACTTTATAAAATTTATAATCTGGGAGATTACAGGAGCATAAAAGCAGTGAGGCTGTTTCAGAACTGAATCTCATTCATCCTGTAGAAATGATGGCTATTTTACTCTGATCTGAGGGTGACAGTAGGGGTCATTCTTGAAACTACTTGTTTTATTTTGGTACTGTAATAAAAAGATCTTTTCTGAGAAGAAAGACATGATTTCATTAACCATGAATTTCTTCTAGGCACCAACACGTAAGTCAAAGCTCTTAATTCTAGTTACTGCTACAGAACAGGCAGAAGCATTACCGGAGCTGAGCTGTTACTAACTGTCCATAGCTTTGTTTCCCTGCTACTTAAAAACACAGTATGATGCCATTTTCCTTGCTTCCAGTGTTTCTGGCCCTTTTATTTCACCAATGCTGGCATTCATTTGGTGCCTTGGTGAGCTGATTTGACTCATTAAACCAGCATATCATTGTGTTTTTCTGTGTTCTGATTGTTTTCTTTTGCTGGGATGGCTTTTTTTTCCCCCCACTAATGAGCTATATTCTCTGGTTGCAAGTTCACATAAGTGCTAGAGCTGACTCAAGGGGAGGATGGAGGAGGGAGTGAACAGGACCACTTTCTTTAGCAGCAGTGATCTCTTAGCTTGGCTTAGTTGCACATAAAAATTTCTACTCCTCTGTTTGTTTCCATGAATGTGTCTAGTGGGGAATTTGGAGAGTGGGAAAGAGAATTGCTGAGGGATGAATTCATAGCTCCTTCAGTGCCATCTTTGAGTTGTGCTATAGGGAAGAAGTAAAAGTGTGGGGCAAGATGTAATCTCTGTCTGATATGTGTAAAAGAAAAATCAAAACTTCTACCATGTCAAATACTATTTCCTTTTTTTCAGTACGTTACAATTACTTTATAACAAGCCATGGAAATTTTGTTATGGATAAACTGATTTTTAATGATATTTCTCACTATCGCTAATTTCAAAGTTGCATTTTTTCCTGCCTCTCTGTGCGTGAGAGGTATGATAGTGGATTTCAAGACAGGAAATGGACCCACAGAAGTAGAAACAAGGGTACTCTCTGATTCTCTTGCTCTGGGTCTTCTGAAGAACTTAAGTCCCTTTTAAGTCCATATTTTATACCTTCATCGTGAGTTCACACTCAAATCTGAATGCAGAGTCTCTAAACAAGGAGAAGATGTGATACCTTTTTAGTTTAAGTGACTTGCCTTACATTAGATTGAAGCCATTCTGATGGCAGAGTGGAGATCAGTTTCCCAGGGCAGCCTTCTGTTACAAGCTGTAAGACCATCCGCTCCCTTCCTGCTGTCCATGGGTCTTTCACAGTTTACACTTCAACTTCTGAAAAAGTAAGTTGGATCCTGTAGACCAGCAAATGTTAAATAAACTGTAGTCAAACCCCTCTTGAGAATTTTGATCATGAGCTGAACCTCCCAAAATACAGCTCCAAATGCACCTTTAGGGTTTTTTAAATGTATCTCAAAACACATCTGTTTACATATGACTTATTAGCAGTCAGAATTTGTAATTTTAATAGGAGATGTGTCTGGGTGAATGTCCTAAATGTGTAAAGATGTGATCTTCAACATAAGATATCTGTACAAGGTCAGACCAGAAGTGTGTATCTCCTGCATTCTGATCACTGACAATAGCCAGTGGGGACAGGATCTTATCCCTTTTTCTGTCTGACACTGACACTATTACTGTACTATCCTGTTTTACAGGATAGAAGCTTTCTTACCCAGGAAGATGTCTGAATATAGATGTAGACTGAACTGGTTTTCAAATGTTAGTGTCTTTCACGATTCCTAACCTCCTTCAGGGGCTAAGTATATTTCTCTCTCCTACCAAATTTCTTATGTGGACAGGTACTGAACTACCACCTGCTAAAAAGAGGCTGGTGTCACAGCCAAATCCTGCACACTTGGTGCACTTCCTTCTTGCTGGCCATTACCACCAATGCTGTCTTTGGAAGATCAAGAGGCCTTTTCTGCACATTTATGCTACCTTTCATGACGTGATGGACACAAGTACTGCTTCCCTTCTGTGATGTGGCACTAAAATGATCTTGATCCAAAGGATTGCTACAGAGATGCAAAGGATGGAATATTTCAGTACCAGTCACCTACCATTTGGCTTTGCCTTGGTATAGGAGGAGACTTCGAGGAGTGGGAGGGAGAGAGTGTGAATCCCAGAGGACTATGTCCTCACCTGCATTTTGTTTCCCTTATTTCTTGATGGCTGGTCCTTCTCATTTTAAGACCTTAGAAGGCAGCTGCTCTCTCATCTCCAGAAAACTCCCCTATCTGCTTCCAGACATGGTGGTCTTCTCTGTGGGTGCAGAGTTGTGTGAGTTGGTGTAACTTTGGCGCTCATCTGACCATTGCAGTGTGTGAAGTTTTACTATTTTGTCTGAGAAAATAGCCTATCTAAGAAAAAAATTATCCTTTTTCTATCAGTTCTGCAAACTAAAGCAGTCTACACAAGGACTGGAATCCTGGTTTGGGGAGTGAGACCATTATTGTTACAGGATGATGTCTTGTAATGCTGCCAGTCTGAACCATCACTGTAAAATCTGGTATTGCAGTGGGCTGATAGCTTAGGCCTTGAAACTGATACCTTGGGCTTTTCTTCTGTTGTATGCTCCCTACCCCTACCCTAGATTTACAGATATGTGCAGCTGCAGGGTGAGGTGGTTCTTGAGCTGTTTTGGGAAGTGAGAGGAATTGGGAACTGATCAATGGGAAACTGAGCTGCATGATGACTGGATCTGCATCAGGGAAGAGAAGAATATGAATAAAGCTTTCCACAGCAGCCTGGAGATTCGTCAGAGTAAGCACAACATGAGACAGCAGCTTATGCCTGTTACTCATTTTTGCCCAGCCATTGTGATGCTGAAAAGTGCTTTTTTTTTTTTTAACCTTATTTAGTTACACCTGTGAATATGTAGCATATTTACTATTAAATTCTCTTTACATGGCCCTTGCTTCCTAGTGTCTTCATCTTCTGTTAACCTCCATTGTACAGCTGGAGGAACATTGGTGCTACCTCAGCTTCAAACAGTTTTCAGTTCCCTCTGTTTCCCTTAGCTAGTCCTGAAGCTGTACCTCCTCCACTTTAAGAGGTTTTTTTTTCTTTCTTCCTGTCTTCTGAGTGAGAAAGATGTGACTTGGACCGTGGAACTTTTCCCTGGAGCAAGTGGATCACTGCACAGATAGTGTTTTCTGGAGGACAGTTGGAAATAACTCCAAACAGCTCAGGAGAGACTCTATTTTTGGGAGAATTCTTTGAAAGACTGAGGGAGAAGTTCCAGCATGACATGTTTTTCAGCAGAGTTGAAGGAAGAGGGCTGATTGTCAGGGAATGGCCTCTCTGAGAACCAGAGTGCTGGGAGGAGGTGCAGAAGCAACTGGCTTCACCATGGCTTCCTAGAGGAGGATAATTTCTTGGAAACCTCTGCTTTCCAGGGAGTTGTGCCTCGTAGCGCAGACCTGGAGCTTAAAATCCTATACATGTCTGGATGTTTGTCCAGGGGTCTCTGTACAGTATTCCCACAACTTCTGGTTCAAAGAACATACTAGAGAGGAAGAGATTTCCCATTTGCATCCTGTTTTGCTGTGTGAGTGCACCCTGCTGAAGTGTACATCACTGTCTGGTAGCTGCTGTGATTGACTGACTTCTCTGTAGTGCAACAAAATTTACAACACACTCATGCTAAATATTTGCTTTACGTGAGGCTGCAGAAAGGGAAAAAGAGCATGAGGCTGTATTCATTGACAAACAGAGGGTAAGCAGAAGAGTGGAAAGCTAAAACTCCATTAGCTCTATTGAGCACGTTGTGTTTCAGCTAAGATTGTGAATACAAAATTGTTGTGCATACCCCACAATTATTTGTTTGCAATTGAGTCACGTTCTACTGTTCTTAATATTAGGTATTTTTCATTTAAGACTTGATACCAGTTTCTAGGAATGGGTGACTTTTTCAGTCTGAGATTGTGTTAGAATAATACTCTTTTTTTTACTATTGTTTTACAGATTGCCTTCATGACCTTGACTCTGTTTCCTATCCGACTCTTTTTTGCTGCTTTTATGATGTTGCTGGCCTGGCCTTTTGCATTCCTTGCTTCAATGGGATCTGATGAGCAAGAGCTTGAAAAGCCCCTCTCCTGGTGGAGAAGGTGAGTCACTGATGTGATGAACTACTAAGAGAACCATCATATAGTTCAGCAGTTTGAAATAGAGAAGATGGGAAATACCTCATCTCTGTCTCAGAGATGTGCTTTTCTCTTCAAAAGAAAAATATAAAAATTAAACACTTTCTTCCGATGGGAAACTAAGATACCTCAACTCTTGGATTTACCAGGTAACCCAAGAATTACAGGGAGAAAAATTGGTATCTCTGGCTTCTTATCTTTATTGAGTATATAGTGTGAAGCTTTGTTGTGACATCCTTCACTTTCACCTATTCTTGTAATGTCAACTTCTGGTTATGAAGATTGACTCTATGGAATGTGCCCAGATTTCATATTCTAAATCGTTATTTTACACTGCTTCACCCCATTGTTTTCTACCCTGTGGTGAATTGACAAAACTTGTGTTGATTGCCTGAGGGCTTGCCCCATACTTTAGTGCTTATTAAAAGTCTGTACTTGTTTTGATATTGGAATGCCGATTAAGATAGCAGGTAAGAAGATAGTGTTCACCCATCCATGAATACTGCCATTTGAGGAGCAAGAAAGGAAGAGTGTATAACCTTGTCTGTAGAGAACTTTAAAATTAGGGTCTAACACTAGCATGAGGGAAGCTGATTGTGTTTTGCATCACAGGAGGGAAGGAGGTTGAGAACCACAGAGGCGTGTCACTTTACATTTCATTCATAGTGATGTCAGTATAATAACTAAAGGAGTCATGGACTGCCTTCAGTCTTGCATACAGTTATTTTAAATCCTTTTAAATTGTCCCTCCCCCATTTAATCCAGTTTTCAGTGTCACCCTGCTCCCCAGCTTCCCAGTCCCTGTAAGTGTAACAATTTGTTGTGTTTGGGTTTTATACTCTGTTGGTTTAAAGTTTCTCTTTTTATGACTATCAGAACCTTTAAAAAAAAAAACAGAAAACCAAAACTCCACAAAAAAACCAACAAATAAACAAAACCACAAACAAAACAAAAGCCACAACCAACAAACCTCCCCAAAGCAAAAAACCAAAAACACATCACCCAAAACACTTTAGGAGGAGTTGGAGAATAGGGAAGAAAGCAAAATATTTCCGGTGCTCTCATATGTATTCTGTAGGCATTCCTGTATTTGAGAATCTCTGCCCTACATTTCTCCACTATTTTGTTTGGATAAACTTGAAACCAAGAATCAGGGTTATTGCATTCTAGCGGTATTCTAGGACTCAATTTATTACAGCTTTTTAAGTGTTACTAGAAAACATTAGGCATTCTGTAGAAGAAACTCAACAGTCATAGCCTGAATAAAAATTAGTTTAATGATAAAATAAATGCCAATCTTACTGTGATTAAAATGGATTAATATTCAGGCATAAAATTAATTGAACAGCATCTTACCTTGAAAGTGGTCTTAAATCTACTAGAAGTCTGTGCAGTGTTGAAGCTCTGTTTAAGCATCGGATCCTGTCTGTACTTTTCTCATGTATATAAAGTTTTTAAGCAATGTTTTTCTTTTCATTGTAGTAAGGTATTCCTGTAGCAGCATAACCGTTTTCTCAACTCTTTACAGGATAGTGGATGTTTTGCTGAAGGCAATCATGAGAATGATGTGGCTTGCTGGTGGATTCCACTGGATAAATGTTAAAGGCAGACGGGCACTGCCAGCAGAAGCAGCAATATTAACTGTGGCTCCCCATTCTTCCTACTTTGATGCCATTCCAGTAACTATGACCTTCGCCTCCATTGTCATGAAAGCAGAAAGCAAAGATATTCCTGTTTGGGGAAGTAAGTTGGTAGATACTTGATTTTTCAAGAACAATCAAAAATCATTGCTTAGGAAGTTCACTGGCTTTGTATGAGAAGGACTGAAACACAAAGAAAAATTTGCTATAACCTATGGTGAGATTTTTTTTTTTTAAACTGATCTACTTGGAATGTTGATAGGAGAAAACTGGGGGAGATGTTGTTCTTTTTCCCCTTTCTCCAAAATTGAATCATTGTATGAAGTCAAAGCAATCCTAGAGAACTCAGGTTAAATTTGCAGTAAAATTGCAACATTTTAAGACTTGACAGATAGAAAAGCAAATTAGGATGGGCCTATGGAAGCAAAGACTGATGCTGGAGAGAAAGTCCACCAAAACTCCTTACTTGGTGTGAGCTGGCATGCCATGCCGGAAATATATTTTAGGAATGTTGTCTGCTCTGAATGGTACCCTGCCTTGAGGGAGTGCTTCTAATCCTTCATGCATCACAAAGTTTGTTTCTGGCAGGGTGTGAGAGATGAGCAAGAGCAGATTGTTGTGCGCTCAGATTTAGTCATGAGAAGAGCAGATGCCTGAGTCAGTAGTGTTTGAATAGTATCTTGTATTATCATTTTTCAGTGTAAATTCTCACAAATGTTTGAGAGATATATGTGACTTTTGGTGCAGTTGTGCCAAAAAAAAAAAAAGAGTGCAATTTTTTTGGGCTTGTAGACTTCTAAACAAAATCTATGTGGAAGGATTTTGGGTAAGTCCACCATATTGTGTCTAGCAGCCGGCAAAGTTCAAAGAATCTCCCTTCGTCTCATTATGTAGATTTTGTGGGTAATATAAAAATGACAAAAGATTTCACTCTGGCCTTGGGTAGGACTCTTTAGTTTAAAAGTCTAAACGAAAGCTTTGGCTTCCTTTGCAACTGAGTGGAATCAGGCTGTTGGTGTTGACATCCTCCTAAAATTTCATTAGACAATGTGTTCTTGAGGTTGCATTCCAAACTTGAAGCTGAGACATGGCCAGAAATGGTGAGTGGTTACACATGGAAGTTTCATGTAGAGAGTCCTGTGTTATAAAGGTCTGCCTGTATCAGGTAAAGCTCAGGCTGGAACTGGAGCTGTATCTCAATTTCATTGAATATCTTAATAGAGTTTAGAAGTTTGTGGCAGTGAAAAATCTGTGTAAAAATGAATAGATGCTTTGAACAAAAAGGGTGCAAGCATGTGCTTTTGAAAACGGATGCATGCAAACAAGCATAGTGTGAAAACAAAAGAAAAATGAACACCCTTGTCGAGTACTGAGAGAAGATACTGTTGTGAGACAGTATGTTGGCACTCTCATACAACATTGGTGTATCCAGGCCAGCTTAGGCTCTAGAAGCAGGCCAGACATAGAAGATTTATCTTCTTTCTCGGGTGACTCAATTTGCTGTTTAGTAATTGCTGGCTCAGCAAAATAAAGTAGTCTGTGTGGAACTCCATTTGACTTGAAGGTGGACTGTATGGAGGACCCAAACTAGATGAGGTAACTCTTGGCCATGTTGTGTTACTGAAATGTGATGAAATGGCAGAATGGCATTTGACAGAATGCTGTAATGGGTACTTAACTACCCATGTTGTAGATTCAGTGGGAAATAGTGGGAAAGCCTGAGGAGAATTCGTAGGGATATGGAGATTGCAGTTCCACTGAATGAAACGCAAATAATGCACATCAAGTAGTTAAAACTATTTCTATGTACCTAATTTAATTTTAAGGTAACTTTTAAAGAATTCTTTTGAAAGTCTAGTCTTATTACAATACATTTTAAAAATTATTCACTTGATTTTGTTCATGTATGAGTAAAACCAGCTACAGAAAAACAGAAAACATGTAGTGATTTGGTGGAATATTACTGGAATGTATAGTGCAGTCAAATAAATGGATGTTTTGTCCTGTATCATTGCATTTGCTTTATGTTATGCAGCCACAAAAGTTATGTAGTCCCTTTTAAAGTATTCACAAAAATGCCACAGAAATGAGGCATAGCAAGGGTCGTAACTGGGATTCAGAGTTCAAAAACCTTTTTTGTTTTTAGAGGAGTACTTTTGTATGAGCAACACTAATTACAGCAGCTTGTGTTATTTAAGTAAACGGACCTTAACAGAGAGGTGAGTAATCACTATATAGATTAGTTTCCCTTAAAAATTAGTGAAAACTTTCTAGTGGAGTAAAGTTGTCATTTACTTATTTATTTTTCTGCTTGAAAGAAGTTTTCTGTGAAGCAAATGGTGCTATCTTCTTTGATCTAGTTTTTTAATCCTAATGTTATTTACACTTCTCTACAGACACACGCATGAAAAAATAAAAAAAAGTTAAAAAATTATATTTCTCTCATACTGTCTATCTGTAGAAAGGTGCTTATGTTTTTATTGGATTGCCTTGTGAATTGTCAACACTCTAGACATTCATCTAGAATTTATCCCAGAGAGGTCAGAATTGGTTTTTATGTTCTTCAGTTTTGTAAGTCTTGCAGACTTGTTATACCATCTCCAGTAAAGTTTTGTAGCCAGTCACCGATAATCCTAACCTTCCTGTCTGTTAATTGAGTCTTGTTAATGGTCATTCAGGACCTTCTGGGAAGCTTTGAATGAAGTACATTTATTTAACTCTCTGAACAGACTCAGGTGTGTAAAAAAATGACATGACAGGGTTTTCAAGGACAAGGACTTTGATATAAATAAGTCGGCTTTTTGATGTAATGACAGTGTTTATTGGGACATTGTATGTTCTATATCAAAGGGATCAGGTGCTTTAGCAGGTGCAAAAAGATCTGATTGCTAACTGGTTACTAAGATTGGTTCTGCAAATACTTTAATAGGTTTCTGGAACTGTATTATTGTACCCTTAGTTTGCTAGTCGTGGAAGCTTCTGATCCACTTACAAGTCCAGATTATTAAAAGCCTGTTCTTCATGGGATTGGAACATTCCACAAGTGTGCTTATGCATGAGTGTTTTATTGCTTTCTAACTTGAAGGCCCCTCTTCTGGACCACAAAGTCCAATTTCAGAAGCAGACTTAAGTCTTGTGACTCTTACAGACATCTTCCTCTTTAGGAAAACAAAGAGAAGAAAACTCAAATTTAAAAATGCACTTTTGTTCTGACAGAAGAGTATTGAACTCTTCAGTTAGTGGTCAGTAGTGAAGAAAATTATCCACTTGGCACACACACAGGTTTAACAAACTCTGAGGAGGAACTGCTTGCCCAAATAAAAACAAGATTTCAACCAAAAAAAAGTCAGTATCTAGGAAGTAGAGTATGCCAAACAGACATCATGATGCTGAAGGAAGACATATGTTTCCATGCAGTGACTTTCCAGAGCTTTGGTAGATTGGAGATGTGAAATTCTCCTGACCACTTAAGTGTGAAACGTGCAGCTGGGAAGATGACATCTAGGAGTCTGTTATACCTTACATGGACTGAAGAAGTCAGATCAATTAATTTATCAGCACAAATCCTTACACTTTCCTGTTTTGTCTGCTGAATCTCACTTTAAGTCAGGACAAGGTTTTTGCATAAATTCTGGATAGTTACATTGCCTTATTTTTGACTGTTGAAGCAACCTGGGAAAAAGTAATTTTTCATTGCTGAAGTGGTCAGTGCTGCTGCAGAAATGCTTCAATAAGAAGGAAGAGGTGGGTTTATGGGGATTTTGTTGGATCACTTCTGTGATTTGAACATCTTCAGTGATGTGAACTTTTAGAAACTAAATTTAAGGTGATAAGCTAGTTTAAACTTTAAGCAACTTCTCAGCATCTCTAACGTCACCCTCTGAAAAGAAGAGGGATTTAGTACTTGTGAAACGAAGGAGGGGATATGTTAGCTTAAGTTTATAAAGAGGAAGGAGGTAATTTCTGTTTGGCCCAATACAGAAGAGCTGTAGAGGAAGGGAGAATCATACTGTGCTGTAAAACTATCAATTCTGTCATGGGTGGTTTTTTCCACATCTAGTAAACTCATGACTTTTTGTTCAAGCTCATCTTTTGAAAGGACATTATAGGCTTTTCTAAAGCATCATGACTAAAAGAGAAGAAATAAGTAATTTGGGGGAAATATTTATGCTTTAGTAGCTGGGTGTGTTTTCATTTCAAACCTTAAAAGATGTCAAATTACTCATCAGCTCTTTTATGGAACCTAATCCTTTAGTCCTTCAACTCACATGCCCCTCCCTCTCCCCCACCCTTTCCAAAGCACAGAAGGAAGAGAACTGTGGTAGACCCTGTAGTTCTTCAGTGAGAATCTCACATTCAGGTACTTTTGAGATTCATCAAAACAGTCCTTGAATCCCTTTTGGAAAAACCTGCTCTAAGGTGAAGGCATCACAGATTTCTTGTCTTTATACACTGTAAATCAGCAGCTTTAAACACTAAGGTTGCCAGGATGGAAGTCAGCATCCTATGCTATGTTGGCATTATAGCCTTGCTTTGAGTACACGAATGAGCTCCCCCATTTTGATGAGCATCTTGAAGTTGTTGCCAAGTTTATCCATTTCATCCTTTCCTTTAAAACCTTCTGTTTCAAAATTTAAGGTTTCCTTCAGGCTGTGGACACCCAGATGGCCCTGCAAGATTTCTGTCCTCACAGGAGCTCTCTTGGAAAGACTTAAAATAGTTGCACTATCGTCTGTGTATTGTAGGTATGCCTTTATTATTTGGGTTGGAGTCCTGGGAAATTAAGTAAAAATTACTTCTCATTTAAACTACTGCTGGAGTGCCTAAACCACCATCATATTTTTTCAGCATACTTTTTAATATGGTTCATGGAAGTTACTATAGTGTGTAGGAAACCTGCAAACCAACACTACTGCCTGCCTTAAATACTGTTGAGACTGGCAGTAGAAAGCTGAAACATACAGCCATGCTCTCGTACAGGTATTGCAGGTGTGAAAGCAAACAGCAATCTCTGGGACATAAAAAAGATCTTCGTACCTCAAGAAGTCCTTAAGGGAAATAGATTACATTTTGAAAGACCAACCCAAATACCACAGAATTTACTTCTGTTAAAGCTAAGAGGACACTCATTATTTTCCTCCCACTACTGACTTTTCCTTGTACTGCAGACTGCATGTGTCCTGCCTTTCTCTTTGGAAATAGAGAGGGGAGTTTTCTTTTTAATGCTGCTTCTATACCAAGAATACTTGGTATCCCTTCTGTCAGGTGGTCCATCTGCTAGATATTTAGTCAAACTTGGAGAAGTTCTTGGTGTGCATTGAGTTTCACTGGTTGGTTCAGATTTTAGTCTTACACTTCAGTATTTGTTTCTGTGTATATTTGTTGCTCTAATAATGTTCTACCGCTAACTTTACAGATCTCGTGTAGAGTACCATGACTATAATAATTTTTTCTTTTTCTGTAAGAACAATATAATTTCAAGTGGAAAAGATCCTAATTTTGGTTGACTTGAGTTTTGTACATAGATACAACTTCATGTATTTGGTGTGTGTGGGCTTCAGATTTTCCATTTTTAAGGTCCCTGTGTCCATATACACAGGAAGTAATTTTAGTCTGGAGCCTTAATGGGTTTTTTCCCCCTTAACTTTTATAAGGTTTCTGAGTTCTTTGTAGATTTCTTTTCTTCTTTTCTCTACAGAAAAGAGTGGTTTTCATATTAGATATTACTGCATTTAAAAAGCCTTCATGGTTTTGTACCCTTAAATACAAAATGCACAAGGGGGCAACTAATAATATAATCTGTATTTTTTCCATAGTAGAAAAAAATTGGGGTAAATACTGTAAGTAGATAGCCCACTGCAAGGCTACTTGTGTAGCTTACGTCCATGTTAAATGCAAACAGAGCCAGTTGTACTGCCTCAGTAGGCTGCCCTCTTAGTGTGTCAGGAGAATGTATGTGATGGGATTTTTGTCTTGTTTGGGAGAAAGGCCAAGTGAAAGCCTCAAGTTCATCAGTCTCTACTTTTGCAGCAGATCTGTGACTTCGTTTGATGCTGATTCTACAGTGGTGAAAATGTAACTGCCTACTCAAAAGTGTGTGTTTGGATACCTTTGAGAAGAACTGTATTTAGTGCCACATTGCTATTCCATTGCTTTTTGTGTTCCCTGATGCCTTGCAGAACCAGTGGTGAAGTTGCCAGTGTAGCTGTATCTGCTACATGGTTGTAACTGCCAAACATAATTTAAATGGTTTGCTACAATACTATTGTATGTTATATAGCACTTCCTGTCTTGATTTTAAACAAGGTTTCCTCACACTCATTTGCCTCGAAATAGAAAGGTGAAATAATTTTTTTTCTGCTGTTATCTTAAGGAGTTCATTGACACCAGCTGTGTGTGTTCAACTCATCAGGGAGAAACCTTTTTTTTTTCATATGTGCTGAGGTGGTGCTTAAATTGATTGCATGGGAGTTACATTTCTGAAGTCAGTTGGAGCTGCCACCCTGCATTTAATTAAAGCAATATTGAATTTTTGCAGGCTCTCTTAAAAAAGGCTGTTTTGTGCTAGAGCAGCTTTCAGTTGGTTAGAATATCTGTGGTGGTCTGGCTGCCTTGTAAGGCAGAGGTTTTAGTGAATTACAGGCAGTACTGTTTAAGTTGTAGGCATCTGCCTAAGAAGGTGGAGTACAGCATGTCAGCTGTCCTCAGGACTGACACTGCTAGAGAAAAAACTGAAATAATGACACTGGCAAGGTCAGTTTTGTGAATTGAGGGGTTGTCTGTCTTTGCATGATAGAATTGATAATTCAAGGGTGGTTTTAGTGGTGTGAGAGGAGCTGGACAAGCACATTTTTCAGAATCTCTGAATACTTGAGCTGTGATCTTCATTACCTGGTTACAGTCAGTCTTGGACAGTTAAATTGCTGAGCAGAGAAAGATATGATTATGTTCTGTTTATTAAACATATTGCACACTTCTGCTTGTTTCCTTTAGCTGCTCAGTATGCCAGCTGTCTGGTGCATTTTCATGCATGCTGCTTCTTTGCTCCTGGCCTGACTTTGTTCTAGTCCTGCCTATTCCTTGCATCACATACTACCTTATGGTATGCTCTCCCTGTGTTTTGACTTGACATGTGACCTCAGTCTCATCTTGTCCACTTATTTGGTATGTTTCTCAGCTTTTCTTTACAAACCTTTGGCCCTATCCCTGACTTTCTTGCAGAGATTGACTTGGTACAGCCTTTGAATTTTCAGATTTCTGTCTATTTACTGAATATGAAAATATGTGGCGAGAGTAAAGGTCTATGTAGCCTTGTGCTCTGTTTTCAAAAGTGATTAAGAAAAGAGTGTATGAAGAAAGGCAAGTACAGAGCTAGCCTTCCCTTGGTGTGTGCTTTCAGCTTCCTACTGATGAGAGTTTCAGTTTCACTTAACTTGTTGGACTTAACCACTAAAGATCTGGTAGCCGGTGTCTTACAGGATCTTCAGTTGCTGTTTAATAGTAAAACAAGAATTCTGTCAACTTTTAGTCTGATCTCTAAGGAAATAAGAATTAATATGACCACCCTGTCTAAGATTTGATGTGATGGGTTGAAACAGTGACGCCTTCACACATGTATTTGAAAAAAGGTGATCGTTTAAAAGATACTAAGTTCTGCAAGCTGCATGAAAATACTGTTTGAACTATTTTGTGTCATATAATTTAACAGGCAGGACAAATCCATAGGAAACAAAGCTTTCAGTTGTCTCTGTTCTTTTTCAGTACTTTGGAGCTTAGTAGCTTGCTTTTGGGAAGGTTGTAACAGTAAAGCTCCCAGGTTTATGCACAACTTGCCTGTACAGTTTTCAGATACAGACAACATTAGTGTAATCTGATGTTTCTGTCATGTTGCCCTAAGTAAAATCTATCTGCTTGCTTAATTTCTTGTGTTACAGAGAAGACCTTGCTTGCAACAATCCTCCAAAGCCTTGGAGCTCTGGATTTATCTTATTCCTTGGCCTGAAGCAACCCAATTTGCATCATTTGGACCTAACGTAAAAGAAACTTTGGAGTGAATGCTGGGGATGTTTGCTTCTTTTGCTTTCTTTTATTTTATAATGGTTTTGCTATGGAATAGTAATTTGCAACAGTAGGACAAACTCGGGAGTAGCATCACTAAGAAACAATTATGATACCAGATATGGTTTCCCTTGTTATTTTTATTGCTTGTTCTGTGTTTGGGGTTTTTTTTCCCCCTAGTTTTTTATGTATTAATATTTTGGTTTTTGTTTGTGAGCTTTTTTTGGTTGGTTGGTTGGTTTTTTTAGCTTCCCCCAGCAGTAACCCCAGCTGACCAATGATGATCTTTGCTCCCCTAGCAAGCATTGCTGTATAGATATTGTCTAAGAGCAGGCATGTTGGAATAAGTGCAAGACTAAGGTAACTTTTCTGTGATATACTGTTTCCTAAGCTTCGGCAACTTAGGGGATAAAAGCAATATTTCAGAGGCTGGCTGAATGTTTGGGACCTTGCTGTAAATTTTGACAGATTAGTTTCTCAGGGCCACAGAATGATTTTGGTGAGTTGCTGGCTAAAATTCCAGTAGGATAACACCAGAACCAGCAGCTTTTGCTGAGTACAGGACTGTAATTCCTTATAGTGTTTGTTTTTGTTTCACGCTTTAAGCACTGGCTGATCCATTAATGCAGCAAGTCTATCCTTGGCAAAAGAAGATTATACAATTAGTGGCAGTGAACTCATCCCACAGTGGTTGGAAATATGAAAACAGTATTTTGGGCAAATAGAATAGCCAATATTTTTCCAAACCACCGCACTCTGGAACCTTTGAATAAAAATACAAGATAAAAAAAGTTATTAAAAGGTATTTGAAGACAACCTGCTTAAATAAAAGCATGAAGCAGTATATTTGAAGGTGCTTCACTTGTAGTGCTTTTGGACACTGCAAAACAGCTGCATATGCTTATTATTTTGAAAGTTGTCTTTGGTGTCCTGGTGACTGACATGCATGGACTGGATCTTGTGGATTGATTTCCGATTTTTGCTCATGTTCATTTTGTGTCTGGCTATGTACAAGAGGATTCCCACTGAGCCAGGAAGAGGATGTCTGAGGTCTAATTCAGCTGGTATGAGAAACGGGCAAGCAGATGACAGCTGAGAAAATAAGCACACTTTTTCTTTTGATGATACTGAGTCCTCACGAAAAAATAACATCAGGATATGGAATATCTTTTGTGGTATACCTTTAGTGAAACTGAGCTGTCATAGAAGATAAAAGCTCTAAAAACCGGAGACAGACTGACCCACAGGATATCTTTTGGAAGCACTTTGGAAGAGGGAGATTCCTATTACTTTGCTGGGTTAGGAGGGACTACAGACTTTGTGATTTTTGTGGCAGGAAGAAATGGCCTATAGAAGCCACAGCTGCACCTTTGCAGAGAACTGTGCATAGTATATGCCATCATGTTTTACATTGTGTGTGTTGTATATATTGGTCTGTATTGGTCTATTAAAAATTGAACTATTACAAAGTGGCAAAATTGTGAAAATGGTTTTCCTCACAGAAATTCATGAAAAGATAATGCCAAAATAGCAAAGCTGGTTTTCCTCACCAGCATTTTTGGAACTATTTCAATAAAACTCTAATAATTCAGCTGAGTATTTAAGTTTGCAGTGTAATATAGTAAAAGAGTTACGTTCTTCTACCAAAATTTTTGTCCAGAGGATTACTAGGCAGAGGTGAGGTGGGGGGATCTTCTTCAAACAGCGATGAAATAAAGGCTGATTTGTTTGGTTTTGTTTTCCTTCCTCTTCAGCTCTAATCAAATACATCCGACCAGTATTTGTGTCTCGGTCAGACCAGGATTCTCGCAGGAAAACCGTTGAAGAGATAAAGAGGCGTGCTCAGTCTGATGGGAAATGGCCACAGGTACTGTGTTTTGCTACTGTTTGAGGAATGGTATTTGGCATTTCCAAGCTTTGGATATGCAGTTTACTTTTTTTGTTGTGAGTGGCTTTATATGGTTTGGGGTGGGGTGTGGGGGTGAAATTTCCTCCACCCCCTTTTTCTAGAAGATATAATTTAAGATTCTTATGTTTCTCATTGCATTGTGTTTCAAGGAGAGCTCTGTAAGTACATGAGATGGAGAGCTCTACTAAGTGGGACTAAATGGACAGACCACAACTGTTCTCTAAGAAGAAAAAATTTGGACATCTGTGCACATGCCAAGTAATAGCAACAAGAAAATAACTGTCTTTCTTTTCTGCCTGGGAGCAGGAATTTTGTTTTGGTGAAACCTTTGGTGAAAATACTCTTATGCTCTACAAGTGTTTCTGGTCGCTGTCAGTGTTGGAATAAATAAAATTATTATTGAGGGCAAGAAAGAGGCAAATTCACAGATAAACAAAAATATTGTTGTTATTAAGGTAGAACTTTACTTGACTTCTTTATTGAGCACCATTTTTTTTAATCTATCTGCATTGTTTTTCCCTGAAAACATTTTTGCTGTAATCAGCTTTGAAAATATGTGTTTATAAATACATTCACATTGGAATAGTTTTTAAAAGTTAACTTTTCTTTTACTTCAAGATAATGATATTCCCAGAGGGCACTTGCACAAACCGATCCTGTCTAATTACATTCAAACCTGGTAGGTATTATACTCTGTTCTCTACATAATGTTCTTGTATCTTTGTTTCTTGAAATACCACTTGCATTGTAATTTGCTTGCTGTTGCAGAAGTTGAGTTAAAAATCTTGCAATAGGCTGAAACTGAAATAGAAATTTTCTGATGCTACAGGAGGTTTGTAATTCCACCACTGAACAAGACATTTTAGATAATTCAGGTTTTTTCTTGGTTTCTGAGATGCATATGAGCTGGAAGACTAGTGTTTCTTACTGGGTTTTTGTTTGTGGCTGTCTCTTTTCTTTTTCTTTCTTTTTCTTGCCTCCTCCACTTCTTCCTATTTTGAGTCTGTCATGCAGCATTTAGATACACTATAAAGCTTAAGGAAGCAGCGTGAATCTATTTCAGCCTGCCTCAGCATTTGTTGCTGTGTTGTGTATGGATGATTCCTCTTCTGTGGAGTTGCATTCTGGTGAAGGTGGCACAAAAGTTTCCCATATAGCACTGTTAGGAAGGTTACAATTTTTGTGTAACATCCACTTTCTAAGCTCTTTACAATTACTATCACCTTTTTAGATTATCAGGTTAGACGGGGCTGTAACTGAGCATTGCTGCAGCTGTAAACTGCAGTTCCAATAGGGAGAAATGCCAATACTGCAGTGAACCACCAACCTTTAATGTAAACCTGCCGTTAGCATGTAGACAGGGAGATGGTCAGTGAAGAAGCTTCAGTGAGCAAGGCAGTTGTGAACGTGGTTTTTGACTCTTCCTAGGTTTCTGCCTAGCTCATTGTGTTCTGGTCTTACTGTGTGACTTGTAGTTTGCATTGCTTGCAACTTACATATGACTATTAGAATACCATGCAGTGAGTCAGCATTGTGATTCCTTGCTCTGATTCATTTGGCTGAAAGAATCTCAGGCTTGTCTCTCAGCTTTTACCTCTTTAGATGAATGAGTGGTGGTTAGGGAAACACCCACTTCTTTAGCTCTTTGCTCTCCATGTCTCTCCACCTGAATCCTGACTATGCTTTGTAAACTAACCTGAATCCTTCATTTAAGCCCTGATTTACCACCTTCCCTCTGTGACATAGACCTTTTAGGCACCATGTATTTCCATCTCAAATTCTCACTCTAGCTTCCTCTCCTCTGGCCTAATACATGCTACTGTCTGCCTCTTTTCTGCCTCACTTTTCCTACTGAAACCTGCTTCTGTATCCATATAGCCTTTCAGAAACCCTTTACCTGAAAATTTGTTACTTATATCACATTGCTTTAGGTCTCTATTCAAGTAACTGCTTTCTGGATGCCTTTCCCCATTCTACTCATGTGGCCTATGCCCCTTGCCCTTAACTACCTTTTTTTTGGTTTTATGTTTGTGCAAGCTAGTCATACAGGGCAAGGTAGTTTAGTTTTATTCAAGTGGTGGTGTTGTCATCTACTGCTCAGATTTTGTCAGCTTTGGATTATTTCAAAAGTTACTTCAAATGTTCTTCGAGACTGAATGGAAAGTTCTACTGGCCATGAATCTCTGCAGGATTCTATTCAGACAACCTTCATTTAAAGATGTTTATACTCCATTAACAATTACTACTTTTATATCTCAACAATTACTCTTAAAGCCAATGTAATGCTAAGAATACGGTACACTTCAATCATTCAGTTCTTAATTTTAGTCGGAATATTAGAGATAACTTAGTAAATTGTTGTAAATAATGTAGTTTGAGTAAGCTGTTAATTTTTTCATGAGAAAAAGATGTTTAGAGGAATCTAAACATCTGAGCAAGATAGTTATCATGCTTACCCAGTCTTTGTACTAGAAATCAAGAAAATGCTTAGCAAATGACGTAGATCTTGTGCTACTTAATCAGAACTGCAATTTTCATATGAAATGAAGCAATGCTTCTGTATAATTGCTGCAGTTCAATACTTTATAACTATTAGATTTTCCATAGCTAGGGAATAGAAGTTATGTTAATTCTGTTATTTCAGAGAAGATAAATTACCTATAAATTGTTGCTCAAATAAAAATAGAAAGCTTCATTTGCATAAGCAAACTTGGATTCTTCACCAGAAAAATAACCATGGGGAATATATTGCTGAACTATCTTGTACATTCTCATATTTTTTTAATCATTTATCAAGCTGAATTTGGTACTGAGCTTTGACTTGTGTGCATGACAATATATGTAAAGGGTAGAGGATAATTAAGAGAACACAAGAAAGCATTTTTCATTATTTATCTGCTGAAAAGATGGATATACATTGTCTTTCTCCAGTGCTTGCTTTTTCAATTACTTGTGAGGCTACTTTCAGATCTTATTTTTTCACTATCAACTTATTCCTATCAGCCCATTAATTGTATAATTATTTCTTGCTGCAGTAAACTTCTTTTGTAGCATAATGCACTAATAAAATAATTATGTGTCATATGTGTCTTCTAGGAGCATTTATTCCTGGAGTTCCTGTACAACCAGTGGTTTTACGTTATCCAAACAAACTGGTAAGTTCAGCTTGCAGTGTGGCTGGAAGTGCAGGGCATTTTCCTTTAAAAACGTTTGCACTTGTGTAATCTTTTAAGTTTAGAAATTTGGAAATTATTGATAAATGCTTACTGGCTAAGTATGTATTCCTTAAGTCGCAAGCAATATAGAGAGTCTGAGACAGTTTAAATGTTTCTGCTTTTATTAGGTTACTCCTGAACAGTGCTCTGAAAGTTATTTGTGTTGTTACAAGAAGCACTGTATGCATGAGGCAAATTTCAATTTCTGTCCAGGGTCTGTGTTGCCATGTTCTCCCTATTACTGCTGGAGAGTTTTCTTAACATCATTTACAGCTGGAAGATGCTTCTGTGCCTCCTGCCTTTGGGGATGTTAGTCCTGAATTAATAGGATTGAATAGTATAGTGTGTGGGGACCTCTGCACCTTTATAAAGTGTCTTGTCTGTGTTTTACATTCACTTGGCTAAGGAATGCTAGACAATGGCTAATTCGGAGTAGTCCTTCAATATAAATCTGATTCAGGTAAAATGCGAATGATATTGTTTATTTACAATAACTGAAGTTTCATTTTGAGCCCTCTGTGGAGGGTGTGAGGAGTGTGAGAAGTAAAAATGAGACTACGTTGAGTCTTAGCTGATGCATGTCACATCAGAAGATCTCTGTCTCTTTGACTAGCCCATTAATAATCCCTTGTCCTAAGGAAGGATTTTGTTTCGTCTTGGTACCTGAGTTTCTTACAAATACTTCTATCCATTGTTCTTTCTGTCTACTTACAGAATGATATAACACATAAGATTGATTAAAAAAGAGAAGTACCCAAACAAAGTCTATATATATAGACCATCTCTTTACTGAGACAAGATGTGATGGCAGTCAACTAGTTTGCAGTAACAAATGCAAAAATCATCTTTGCAGACACTCTGACAAGAATAGCAGCCTGCTATGCTTACATAGTATTAAGTGTATTGTAGCAGGTTGCCTGGGACTTCGCATTACACGATTGTTTTATTTTCAGGAAAAAAGATTCTTTTAATCCAGTTGCGCACTGAGATGTCCTTATTACCTGTAGTACATAATATGCAAAGTTTGTAAAGTAATATTACATGTTCCTAACACTTTATTGACAGAAATTGTGAGCTTTTAACATTGAAGTAAGTCAATATAAATGCAAATGAAAATTTTCATAATTTCTTTGTGTTACTGCAAAATATAAAAAACCTGTAACTATTCAAATAGATATCCATTGTGAGCTGGCATGAATTTGTATATGGGACTTTACTTTTCCCCAGTATTTTTAATTGCTGCGAAACACTTAGTTTTCAGTGCCTTTCTGTGTCATTTAACCCCTAAGGTCTACTTCCTGGAGACCTTCATAAGATCTAAGCATTAATGAAGGGGGTACTAATTGCCATAACTATTTGATTTTTACATTAGCTTGGGGGCTGCAGAAGAGTTTTATCAGAGTTAGAATGAGGAGAGGAAGGAGGAATATGATGTGGTACATGAAGGTGAGGTTTATTTTGGTTAGGATGCAGAGTTAGATTATTTTATTTCAGTTATTAAGCTATTCTTATCTCAATCTACATGATTTACCTTTTCTTTGTGGTTTTCCTACCCACCCTGGGGGAGGATTGAGTAAGCAAGCAACTGTATGGTACTTAGTTGCCAGCTGGGATTAAACCACAACACATGTAAGAACAACAGAGTAGGGAGAGAATATTGTTTTTCATACACTGAGACACCATTTTTAGCAAACTTTAATTGTCCCTGGCTTTCTATTTGTTGCCTTGTTTAGCTACTGCATATTATAATTTTAGGTTTAGAAAGGAACTTCTTAAGATCTTGGCTTAGCCAGTGAATTCCAGATACGCATTGTGTGCAGTCACCCCACTGCTCTTCACTTGAAGTACCTGCTCTGATCTACATTCAGAGCTCTGAGTTCCACAGTACAGATGAGAACAGTCTTGGCTTTGAGTGCACCTACTGTATTTGGAGGCTTTTTGAGATCCGAGCCTGGGGTGAATGTAGTAGGTGTGGGCACTCTTACATGTTTATTTCATTGTACTCTATTCAAGAACTGGGGAAAGCACTGCTGTTCTGCAGTGGACTGAAACGTGACAAAAGGGAAGGAGTAAATTCAGTTCTTTTCTAGGAAATGAATGTAGCTCTGGTTACTGTGAAGAACTCTCTATTTTATTTTTTTTTATAGTCAGGGTTGCCCCCTGGATACCTGTTGTCTTGGGGCTTGTGATTGTGTTAGATGACATCTCTGGACCTGTATCAATGTTTCTTTAGGAGTAGTATGTTAGTATTATCCATGATCAGAAAGAAATTTTAAGGCTTAAAATATTTAGACCTGATATTCAAAATTTGCTACTGGTTATCTAATTTGGTAATATTTTGGGTATTGGATGCTTGAGAACTATTGCCTATACTCTAATTAAAATAAATGCTCTAATGTCTTCATCATAGGTTCTACAGCAATTTGGTTTTACACTTATTTTCTTTGTTTCTTCACTTGAATTTTCTGTCAGAGTGCTGGTGATTATGAAAGGCTGTATACCTGTGTAATTATCACAGAGCCATTTTAAATGTGTTTTTATGTCCCAGTGTCTTCCACAAGTAACTGCTATTTGCTAAGAGATTTGGCAGCATCTCCTGTGCAGTTTTGGTATGTCAGGGTTGACTGAACATGTAAAAACAACAGCCAATCTGCTGTTTAAAGGTTGGCATGATTCTCAGTATCTTCTTGTGTCAAATTCAAACTATATGGAAGATGGCTCTTCTCTCTGTTTCCTCCCGTGCTGAGGGGAAATAATAGGCAGTATAACATTCAAGGTCAGGTTGGATGAAGCTCTGACCAACATGATCTAGTTGAAGATGTTCCTGCTTGTTGCAGGGGTGTTGGAATAGATGGCCTTTAAAAGTCCCTTCCAACCCAAACCATTCTATAGTTTTATGTACTTCCACACAGTTCAAAGTATTACCTAGATACAGTAGTTTCAAAGTGTACTCCAAATGCTGTTGAAGTGAATGCTGTCCATAGGCATAAGCTGGTAGCAGTGGTAAATATTGAAGGTAACTGGGTAAGGAAAATGCCTCTTCCCATTGTCTGCCTGCTGTTTTTATCATAAAAATATTGGATATTTTTATGAGGTAGGAGTCTGCTATAGCATAGGTCTGCCTCTTGCAGACCAGAATCCTATTTTCCCCTAGAAAATGGCATTTATAGCCATCATCCCTGCTGCATCCTGATGTTCTTGATGAGAACAATCATGCATGTCTGCTATGGCATTCACATTGGGAATTTTCTTGCAGGATTGTTGATAGATACATGGGTTATTTGAGTTTGACTTGCTGGCTAGCCAGCACAGGGCTGGATTCCGACCATACTTATTCTCTGTTCAGTGATCAGAATCCTTTTGTGGAGATTTCATTTTTCTTTATCTCCTTCTGCATTGTTGCAATTTAGAGAGCTGAGTTGGGTATGTGTAATGCTGTGGTGTTGTTCTCTTAAGGCAGATCTAGTGTCTAGATAAATTATTAGCTGTCTACACTGGTTTCTCAGGGTTTGTAAATGAAAGTTCCTTGTGGAAAGAAACCAAACCCCATAATGTGTTTACTTGCAGTGTTATCAGAGACATCAAAATAGCCAGAAACAGAGTAACAATAAAGCTATAGACAGTAAAGTTCTAAAAGATCACTACATGGATAAGTCTTCTTTTTATGTAAGTATGTTACTTGGTATAGATAGAAAAACGGTTTGAAGAGGAAGGTCCACTAAAAATTTAAAACTTCTAACAATTATTTCCAATCAAACAAAATATGATATAGAATTATTCTATTACATAAATCACATTTTTCACCTTTTATGGATGGATTTACTTTCTTTCATTTTTACTTATGATGGCCTTTTGCTCTAAATGGTAATTAAAACTGGAATTTGACTTGGTTTTTCATGGTCTTGGCACATGTGATCACCTGAACTCTCTAAAATGGATTTGAATGGTAGAATAGAACTGAACTGGAACATTTGCAGTAAGTTGAAATAAATATCTTTCTGATCTAATCTTTTGGAAACCTGAATATAATGAGTCCTCTTGTCTTTCCATTAATGACTTGAGCTTTTTTTTTCCAGTTAGAACAGAACTAATTTTCAGGTCTTTAGATTCTTACTTCTACACTTAAATCTTGTCTCCAAGTATTGCAGGTTTTTTCCTGTGCTATTTCTTAGTCTTACAGTTAAAAATGTGATTACTTTTACTGTCATATTCCTTCCTGTTACCTCTTATATCTGTTATATATTCCTTTCCAGGTCTCTGACCCCTTTTTGCTATTCGCATCTAACAAATGCTTTCACTGCTGTTTGTCCTCTCTTAGTGTTTCACACAGTGTTCATTTTGGCCATGCAGAAGTGCTGCTGGTCTTCCCTGAGAGTAAATTTGTAGGTTTAGATGTCTTAGAATGTACCTTTTGATTCTTGGATCAGGCAGGTGGATGTATGGTGTCTGTGTGTAAAGGCAACTGTGAAAATACTGTTTGAGGTAAGACATAAGGTCTTACCCATCCTACTGCTTCATGTTGGTTGAGCAGACTTCCTTACAGTCATCTCCACAGGACACTTCAGGAGTGTTAAAGTGTTCATATCTATTGCTGGGACATCCAAGTACACTGTAGGGACACTGTCAAGCAGGGTGGGCTAAGAAAAAAAATGCGTGTGGACTATGCATGTCAAGGAACATCAGCTAAGTAAGTAACTTTCTTTTCGAAGGCTGACAGCCTTTGAAGAATACCTAGACCTTTAAATGTTTTATGAATGTAGATATTTGGTGTTTAAGACCTGTGTTACTGGATATTTCCTAGCTGTGTAAAAGATAGGCTGATTCCTAACAGGGTTAAGAACTTTTGCAAGAAGGGCATTGAAATTTCCATGAAAACATTTTAGTCCTATGTTGTCAGTTATGCTGTCTGCAGTATAAAAAGTTGAAGGCACAGTAATTAATTGCAACTGTCATACTTCTTTTCTTAGGACACGATCACATGGACATGGCAAGGGCCAGGAGCGTAAGTGGTTTATGTTTTATTGCTTGCATCATGATTGCTTTCCTCCATTACTTTTTATTTACATGACTTGCAGGCACATATAGTCAACCAATTCCTGGTTATTGGATTGTTCTTCGGGATTAATTTATCTCTTATCTATTATTCCCTAATTATGATAATCCTGATTTAGAGAAATCCAGGTATAAACAGTGTACTTCTGCCACTATGATTTTGTTGGTTTGCAGAATGGATTTTAGGTTTTTATTTCAAATTTACTTTTTTTTAGCCAAGTGCCTGAAGTAAAACAACTTGTTTCTGCTGTGTGTATTTTGTTGCCTGCAAATTGATTTGGTATATTACTGTATAAAATCTGTAGGGCTATTGTTTGAAATTAGTCTAGTCTCATGGAAAAAGTCAGAGAATTTGGAGATACTGTTTCCATTGTCTTGCTCAAATATAACTTTGATTTTTCAAATTCACGTAATATAAAATATTAAATGAAGCAGTTCCCGATTGTTTAAAAAAAAATTTAAGCATTATTTTCATGCTGGAATTTGAATAGAAATTCTAAAATGTTTAGGTGAAGGTGAAAACAAGAAATTTTGAACCCTAAGTAAAGGGGAGTTGACTTCTTTTTTTAATGCTTTTTATTGTTTTAAATGTCCTACCTGAGATCCTGTATTTTAGTAGTAACAAGGAAACTATTGGGATTAGCCAAGATTCAATTAATTTAGAATTTTGTCAGTTAGTTTTGCACTTGGGAACCAAGTTGAATTAAGGCCATGACTAGATTTGGAGACTTGAGGAATTAATTGATAACTTGTAGAAGTTCATCTTACAATTAATGTATCACATTAGAAGTAGGTGAATCCATGATAGTGTATAATGTAAATAGGCACTGTAGCATTTACTGCATGAAGGGATTTCTGTTCTCATGAGCTCCTACCTCTTCCCTTGCATTTGCACTGCAATTCACCTGAAAAAGTAACTCAGCCATAGAGGAGAAAGGCAAGTAGCTTACTTCCAGCGTAGTGTCCTAACTGAGGAGTCAAGAACACATAAAAGGAGGAAGAGGGAAGAAACTTCTAGGTGTGTTGCCTCAGATCACTGTAATGTCTACAAAGCCTTTATTCTGAAGTGCTGACATCTGCTAAAAAAGTTAAATTAAATTAAAGCCAAACTGAATCTGAGGCAGCATGTGATGTTATACAAATTGACTGGGTCAGTTTAAATTACAGCTGTACTTAATTAAGTTTAATTCTGGTGAGTGACCCAAAATGTATTTCTGATGTCTTAGCAGAAAATAATGTTAAGACTGATACTTTTTTTTTTTTTCTCAGCAAATGTCTCTCTTCTGTTTTAGTGTTAGTCAAAACTTAATCTGGAAATGTTGCTGTATCCAGGAGTATTGTTTGTTCAAAGGTGCTGTAACCTATAAAGTGGATTGAAAACTTGTCACATACAAACTTACACACTTTCTTCCACTTACTGAAAGTAATGTTTTTACTAATTTGACGGTATGCAGAGCAGATCAGCTGACTACCTTGAAAACAAAGAATGGCTATAGTATACAACTTCAATTTTCTCTACATTAGACTTGAGTTAGATACAGGTTCTATCAGTTTTAGACTTTTATTTAAATTTAAAGTTTAATCTCTTAGGATTCCAGAGAGGTGGCAGAGAGATAAGTTTACTTATAACTCTTTGGGGGGGTTTAATGCTCTTGGACAAGGACCTACAAACTAGACTTTGATGTTTCCTATCAGTGCCATAAACTTCAAATCACAGATTCCACTGTTGTTCTTGATCCTTTTCTTTGCTTTAATGCATTGGAAGTAGAGTAGGAAGGAAGGAGGGAAAATATTTTGCACCCCTGCATGAGTGTATAACAAAATGAGTAGGGTTTTGCTTCTAGAAACTGCACTTCATCTGCCTACGAGGATTTTGACCAGCCCTCCCCTCACAATGATTGACTTCTGTAACTACCTAGATACTGTATAAAAATCGGGTTACTAACGCTGCTCCCTAATTTAGGTTTACTAAATCCTTTCCTGGATTTGAACCTTAATGCTTTCCAAGGTCAAGTTGATTCCAGTTATCTTGTATCTTCGGCTAATAGAGCACACGTAGAATTTCATTAACAGACTTCTGCAGTATAATGAACTTTGATTCCAAACCGAGGTAATGATAAAATCTCACTGGTTATAATTAATCTTGCCAACTGTGTGCTGAATACAGCATTTTCCTGAAACAGACTGACTCTTTCTTTACACATTATGCATACATTATCTTCTACTGTTTGTCTTCCTGCTTTTGAGTGTTTTTTAAGATGCCAATTCAGTGTAAACTGCTTTTGTTGCACCTTACAGAATGTAATGTGTAGAAGTACTTTCAAAGACCTTTTCTGTTACTTTTATCTGAATATGATCACACCTACAAGTAGGAATGCTACTTGAAGACTTTGGAGTATAATGTACTACTGTTTCACTACATATAAATTTTTTTTTCTCCATCCTTTCCCATCTCTTGCTCCTTTTAGGTTTGAAATTCTGTGGCTTACTTTATGTCAGTTTCACAATTCTGTGGAAATCGAGGTCAGTAAAAAAAGAAACCCAGTTTATTCTGAGCAGGTTCAGAATATGTAATATTGTACTTGATTCTGCAGTAAAAGTTTGTGTTCAAACTTTGTATGTTTGTCTGTAAAAACAGGTTAAAATACCACTTATATTTTAGGCAAATGGCTTCTGTATCTGACAGTGTAGTCTAAAAATGGAATAGCAAAATACAGTTTTCCCCTTGGCATAAGACTTTGCTTTCTTATTGATTTAAATTGAATAGATAAATTTCTGACTCTGTTCAAAGAGTCTTTTGTGAACAAATTTCTTGTCTTTTAACGGCCTGATTACTATTCCGGATAGTGTACCAACTTTGTATGTTAAACATCCAAGTGTGTGAATGCTGGTGTACAAACTAAGGGCTGTCTTGTAGAGGAAAATCATGGGTGGTTTCTTACAGGCTGGATAGGTTATTTAATGTCTGGCTAATTTTTAATTAGGCTACACTAATCAGAATGTGAAATAGGAAAATAGAAAGAAAATCTATCTATATTCTTAACTTTGTTTTGAGGAAAACACTGTGTGATCCTAAGGCTGAAGACTATTGTAGTGACAATGCAAAAACTATTAAAGCCATTTCTTTTAAATTGTTGTCTTTATGTATTTTAGACAGAGTAATTACATTTTGTGGACAATTACAGTATTTGGAAAGTGTTATATAGGATATTTGACAGATGTTCTGCAATTCATTTGCTTTCTGAATAATGAAGCAGCTATTTAGCTCTGACAGATGGAACTGATGACAGGGTAAATCTGTAGGAAGAACTATTGCATATTTACATACATTGTGTTACAGTAGTGACATATAATGCATGCTAATCACAGTACTTATCATGGCTCTGTGTTTGCTTATTTATGCAATCAGTTATTCTCAAAATTAATGAACGTACAAAATACCAGCCACTGAATGTTTGTCTCTGTTGTAGAAATTTGTGGTTTGTGTTATCACTTTAGTTGGATATCATCAGCTATTAATAGCATATATTAAAAAAAAAATTGGTTCCCAAAATAGTGACCTGTTTTTTGCAGAAAGGCCAGGGAGTGACTGCCTTATGCAGGGATAGGACAAACCAGTTACTTGGCAGGATTTTTACTCTATCTCAGGAACATGTTTTTCTGCCCTAGGCAAGTAAAATGTTCTTTCACACAGAAGTGAACACTGCTGAGCTTTCTTGATTTTTGAGGCAGCAGCTGCTAGCAGATGCTGAGTTTCTGTAGCTCTTACAGATCTTGCATAATAAGTTATGATCTTTGATAGTCTTTAAAAAAAAAAGCAAACTAACTAGTGACCTTCTGAAGTACTCCATACTAGAGCAGGAGCTGGCAGAGGGTAGAGGAACAGAACTGTTTTCAAGGCTGCTTTCAAGTATGAGGCAGAATACTTGAGATCTACTTGTTGAATCTGTTTTTGTAAGGAAGTGTGGCAGATTTAGGAATGTAGAAGAAAAACTAGTTGTTCAAAGCCGTGTTTTTCCCTTGGTCTCCAAAGTTTGTTGGTTTTTATTCCCACTCTGTTCCATCAGCACAGAGATACTAGCAAATACCAACCAGCCTTGATACCACAGTTACTGCTGATGATGCGATAACTCAGGGAGACATACAACAGAACAACACAACATCGGTCTGTTTTTGATTAAATGATAGCTGGTAAGGTTAAACAGCCAACACTCAGGATCCAAAATTAGTCTGTGCTTCTCTGCATATAACATATGTTCTGGCATACCATATGTGTCATCCAGTATGTATATTGAGAATCAAGCATCTATGTAGGTTTTATGATAGGTTTCTGTAAATATTGGCCCATCTATCCATCCTGTACTTGGAACTGGCATGCAAGCAATGTTGTGAAGAAGAACGGAGATATGATCATCTGCACATGTAGATTGTTTTGGCTCATGTCAGTTTGTTTTGTTGACCTGTCTGCTTCAGTGTTCATACATCCATCACAATCTGCAGCAGCTGAGAGTTCTTCTGGTTTTGTGAGTGCTGTTGAACTATCATGCTATTTATGTCAAGTTAGGCACGGACATTTAGAGCACCTCTGAAATCTCCTCATCTTCAAACTTGTTCTGTGTTTGGATGAATGACTTGACAGCAGTTTGCAACTCGAAGAAATGGAATAGGACTTGGAAGTTGAAGGAACAGTTATTCCACCTCTGTTAACTTCAGTCTTTGTCCTTTTGTATATTAAATCAGGCTGGTGTATCTGCTTGTAATGTAAACCTAGAAGACAGGAGTCATATGTTTGCAGTTGCAGTAGTGCATGTAAGGAAAACTAGCAAAACTCAAAATAAATTCAAGATTTGCCCATTATAAGAAAAAAATCTAATGGCAACGTTAGAGTGCTGCTGATCATACCATTATGTAATTGTGGCAATACAACTAACTTCAAAGTTACTGAGAAATATTTGCTGAAATTACTTCATATTTATTCCCCAGTTGTTATTTTATTTTTTTAAAGACCAGTGTGAAATTTTTTGGTTATCTGGAAAGAGCTGAACAAAAGAATGTGAAAGAAAGGTTTATGCAAGAAAATGCTAATACTTGTAAATTATTTAAAAATTCCTAGTCTTACTTACTCTGCCTGGGTTCCATGAGATAAAAATTGAACAGAGTCTATGTTATATGAATTTGTAGAAGTATGACATATGCTTAAGCATTTAAGAGTTGAATTATAATTTTTTCTATAGTCCTTTTGTTAATATAATTTTGTAAGTAACAACAAACTGTACACAATTTTCACCATAATGCTATAAGAGAGATTGTTTAAAATGTTAAATATTTTTGGTATAATTCAGTTCTCTTTATGCAGTTTCTACCTGTGTATATTCCTTCAGAAGAAGAAAGAAAAAATCCAGTGTTATATGCCAATAACGTCAGACGTGTAATGGCAGAGTAAGTATCTTGTAATACAGAATAAAAATAGATAATGTGTGATTTTAATTTTAGGATGAAGAAAATATCACAAAATCAAGTCGGCATAGTTGCCTGCTTGCAATGAAGCTTGTAGTCTGCAAAACTTTTTACATAGCAGTTGCCTTCCTCTGTGAGGAGGCCAGGGAGCCACAAATACAGCAAGAACTGTAGGAGCTGGTGTGTTTGGGTTTGGTTTTTTTTTTTTGGTTGATTGGTTTTGTTTTTTTTTAATGTGTCTTCATATAATGAGCCAGTTCTGCTTGCTCCTGTGGGTATTTAGTCTTTTGGGGGAAAGGTATGGGTGAATTTTAGGAAAGCTGATGTAACCAGATTTTGTGCTGTTGGGGTTGCATTTTAAGCTGTGACTCTTTTAATGAGGTTAAGAATTGTTTCATATATTCATTATTAGCCTGTGGTTATTTCAAACAGTAAAGTACAGGAAAGTCTGTTCTGTTGGAAGAGCACTGATACAATGTAAATTAATTGAAATCAAATGTTCATGTGACAACATTTAGAACACTTATCTATAATGTATAATAAAGGCTACATTTAATACTTTTGCTCTTTTTGTTTTATTTTTGATTAACCCCTCTTATTCATTCCTTCTTTGTCCTTTCAGTAAATCCTCCATTAGTCAATAGATACTCTTTTTGGTATTTACAGCAAACGCTCAGGTCTATGATCACTGATAGCTCTTGAGAGATGTACGAATCTTCGTAGTCCTGATTTTGAAAGAACTTGTGAAATCGGAATTTCCTTTGTGCAACTTCTCTTCCGTTTCTAAGTTACCAGTTTAAGCTAAAGGCCAGCTTGTAGATAGTAAGTGATAATTCTTCTCTGGTTTATAAGCAGAACACGGGTCTGGGAATTTTTCGTAAGGGTCTTAGGACTATAGTATAACTATAGATCAATACTTGATCCATTGTACAAAAGGACCTGTAGACTGGCCTCAAAGACTTTGGTTGTTAATTTAAGACAGTCAGCTTAGCTACGCTAAGTGTTGTTCTCAGACTTTGGATAGAAGGCCGTATTCTTAAACCTTCATTCTGAACTCTGCTCCAATCAGATGACAGGTATGTTATATATCTGTGTTATAAGGAGAAATTGTGAAAGCCTACAGAAGTTTACAACAGGCATGTTGCAAGCCTTCCCTTCTATGTGTGCTTAGACGTTATTTTGTTTCTCCCATCCCTGAAGAAGTAAGTATTTGGGGTAACAGAAGTGGGATGCAGGTCTAAAGGGGATCAGAATGAGTGTTATCAAATACAACTTGCTTTGAGATGAAGAAGGGGCTGTAGGTGCTGTGTTGATGTGAATGGGAAAATAAATGTGATGGGATATCAAAGTCTTGAAGTTAAAATGCAGAATGAAACAGAATATTGATGCCTGGATACCATGGATAACTATAGACAAATTAGCATCAACATAGTCAAAAATTATTTACTTCTGACGGCTTCCAGATACCTACTTCTAGTGGCAGTTCTCCAGACTTTCCCAGTTTGTTCTTGTGGCTTTTGGTACAGGAGATACCAGCTCAGATGCTGTCAGACTGTTCTGGAGCTGTAGCAGTTGCAGCTCAAGTACCTCAAGTACCCTTTGGTGCTAGCCTTGTATTCTGCATTGGTGAACAAATGGCATTATTGCTGCTTCATGTAGATTTGTCTAGCTTTTCTTGAAGATTAAGTCGGTGGCAGTGTCACATTTTGTTGTCAAGGGGTCAGGATCTATTTAGATGTCTGCTTTCTCCTTCTTCTCCATATTTTTCATATTTTTCTGGAGGAATAGTCTAATCCTACTGGATATTTTCCAACATCAGAGGTGGCAGTCCCAAATAATAATGTATTTGCGAGTCTAGAACCAGTGTTGTGGAAAGCTTATGTCTTGCTTCTGATTCCAGGGGAAATTGATAGAAGTTGCTGAGTGCAGCAATAGGTACAATTTCCACTTCTGAAATTGTTTGCCTTCACAATAATTTTTTCTTGTGAACAGCTGCTATTAAGTGTTGAACAAAACATTTGACAAGAAGAATTTTGATTGATAATTTGATAAGAATTTGATAAGAACTGATTCTTATGCTGCTTATTCTTGTTGATTCTATGAAAAACTTTTGGTTTAACCTTATTTGATTAGCTTTTCCATGGGCAGCCACAGATGCCAGTGATGGGGGTCTCTAGATAGTTCCTGTTCACTTATGCATATAAATTGAATACTTGATGGAGGAGATGCTGTCATTCTTGGAGGTTTGCTTCCTTAGGACATTAGTTTCTTGCAGGTTGGATGAATTTACTTGCCCAAAAAGTGAAATCCAAGGTGTGCCTGGCCTTTTGACTCTGTTTCAGGCCAGGAACAGGCAGCCATACATGGAGTTGGGAGGGCACAGCTGACCCCAGCTGACCCAAGGGACATTCCATACCATATGTCATCAAGTTCAACATGTAGACCTGGGGGATGAAGAAGGAAGGGGAGACATTCAGAGTGATGCTGTTTGTCTTCCCAAGTCACGGTGATGCCTGAGGGAGCCCTCTGGCGCTCTGCTTTCCTGGGGATGGCTGATCACCTGCCTGCCCAAGGGAAGTGGTGATTGAATTCTTTATTTTGCTTTGTTTGTGTGTGCAGGTTTTTGCTTTCCCAGTTATGCTGTCTTTATCTCAACCTGAGTTTTCCCACTTTTACCACCCAAGGGTAGTGAGCAAGGGGCTGTGTGAGGCTAAATTGCCATCTGGGGTTAAACCACAGCAACCATATTGGGGATGATCATCTCATTGATGTGAGAAAGTCCTGCGGTCTGGGTGACCATTTTGTAAGAACCCTTTCCTGCTGCTTTTCAGGACCTCATTTCACAGACTTCTTTTCTAAAATAAACCTGCTTCATGGTTTAATTAATTCAAATGTAATATGAGCTGATCTCTTGATGAACAGTGTTTCAGTATTATGCACTGATCTGTCACCAAATTCCACAAGAACCCAGGTGATACATTTCCATTTTTTAAAGGACACTGTCATGGTAGATAATGAATTTAAGGGTCACAACTTCTACAGACCTTTCACTTGGAACTACGGCTGTTTGCTTCTGCAGTACTACCCTGGAGTGATACCTTTCAGCACTTCTCATCAGAGAGATGAGTAAGATCCAAGCCTTAGAAGCTTTACAGCATCCATAAAAGTCCAAAGTTTCTTTCTAAAAGCATTTTGTAATCTCACCTGTGTGATGACCAGTATTTTGATGCCTGTGATCTTCAGCCTTTTTCTCATTGACAGATACATACTTAATAGCATTGGGCTAAAATCTTGAATCATGCAGTCCTGTTGCAGTCATGCAGCTCACAGTTTCTTCTGTTTTGGGGATTATCTGTGTCATCAGAATTGTAATTACTCATACAGAATAGCCACTGCTGCTGAATATGCCTGTCTTCCTTTGGATCATTTGCGTATTCTGAACAAAAGCTATGTGCAGATGAAATTAATTTGCTGTTTAAAGTATGGTCCCCTACTTGTTCCTTAACAATATGCTTTGCGTTTGATTTTCGCATAGAACATATTTTGTTTGAGCGAGTCTCTCTTGTTTGGTCCTTCTGACTACGTTCTGACTGCTACTCTGTGTAGTTGATGCCCATCTCATCCACAACATGCTATCAAAAAGTGTGTTTAGAGTCACTTTCAATCACAGAAAATGTTGAATGCTTTTAAATGTGGCAACAGTCCAGGCAAGTTCTCTCTTTAAAGTCAGTAAATAAACTGTGGTGCTGTCTTGAGCTTTAATTTACTTTATGTGTTCTTTATTGCTCTAACACAGTTCTAAAACCACCTTGCTAGTCAGGTGGTATGTAGGTAAATATTATGGTCATATGGGTAAATATTATATTGCCTCACTTTTATATTACTTAGGCAAAATCATGATTTTAGTCTTCTGTGCATAATCTTCTGTTGATGGTAGTCAACATAGGTTGTTTTGATCTGTTAATTTAATACTTTCTACACAGTTTCTTCTATATATTTTGTGGTTAAGTGACGAACTTTCTGGCCTGTGTTGTCACTTTTTTTTTCTTGTCTTCAGAGGATTAAGTCATGATTTATTTGAACTATGGTAGTGTTGTAAAACTGTCAGCTACTTGAGACTTTAATCCCAGCTTTCCAGAATTATTAGGAACAAATCATTTGACCTTGCCATCACAAGTATTTATTTCTAAAAATTTCATAGTGATAAAGGAAACATCTCTACCACTGTTAGAGCATTGGAAAGTACTTAATTTTCTTCATAAGATATGTCATCTTAATTGTTTCCTAGTGTAAAGTACTTATTGCACATCACAGCTTTTTTTGGCTCTTGACAATTTTACTATCCTTCACTAGTAGTAAGTTATGTTATTTTTGGTATTTTTTTCTTATGCATTAAAAAGTCTTGTGCTTCTTAGCTGCATCAATTGCAACTTTTTATCCTTTACCTTGCTGTGTTGTTTTGCTGCATTGTAGTTTCTAATTTTTTTATACCCAGTTAAAGTTAGTTATGTTTTGCAGTTTGTTTAGGCTATTTTCCCTTAAAAAAAAAAATTAGTTGCCTCTTTTCATTATGGGATTGTAGCCTTTTGCCTGTTGGATAGATTCTTAAACACCTAACTTTCATTAAAGCTTTATTCTGTAAGACAATAGTTGTAATCAAAGTACTGTTTAGAGTATAGAAATTCTATTCTAAAGAAAAAGTAGGTAACTCTTTCACTCCCACTTTGCAAAAAAAAAAAAAAGCTGGTTTGTTACCTTGCTATCCCTTATCAAATATACTTGGAAGGAGTATGTCAGTTGCTCAGCTTCTATTTAGTTGGGAAAATTCATTTTGTGTGTAGGTAAGCCAGTGGTGGTGTAGGCAGCTAATTGTGAAAATTTGCACTGCAGGCCCTTTGTTCAAGTCTAAAGTGACCTCACCCATAATTACAGATGTAAACTGATTAGATAATTATACTCAGACCCATTGGTAGCTTATTAAC